ATTGGATTTTCCCTTCGATTTGTATTAGTCATAGTTGTGATAGCATATGCATGGTGTGCTTTTGCTTAGAACCTAGGATGTTAGGAGCCAGGTTGAGAGTTTGCTTGTCTGTTATCGTCTGATTGGGGGTGAGTCTGAGTGTTGATTGTGGATAACTTAGATGAGATGCCGAAGCCGAGCAGGAGTGTGGTCTAGTTAATATGTGATCGGTTAGTTTTCATTGCGGTAGTGTCCTTTTGTTTGGGGCTGCATGACAGCGTTTGGCCATGAAGCTATGGAACCGATTAACTTCGCGGATTTTCGTACATATTGGTTGTTATGGGGGAGTGCATCATGAAGTAAAAGCGAGAGCTGATTTCGAGGTTGAAATCTAATTTAAGTGGCGGAGAATTGTAACATTCCGTTTAAAATAAATAAATAAATAAACAAATAAATAAAATGAATAATAAACCCTAAAACTCCGAGATGTATTTTTATATTATATTTTAACCCTAAAGTCGTATTAAATTAGCGGGTTGTACACCTTGGGGCATCAAAAGTTATATTTTCTGGTATTGAGGGTCAAATTGAAACATATGGACTTGGATTGAAAGGATTTTTGGAAGCAAGGGGCTATAGGGTAAATTAGGGATTTAATTTGAAAATGTTTTGAGATGGAGGGACTGGAAGCGTCAAAATGGAATGAAGTTTAAGTTGGAGACGGGGGATTAAACCCGTCACCCCTCCCTTCCCTTCATCTCATATACACCCGAAAAACCCTATCCCTAACCCTAAAATAATACATCCGCCACCCTTATAGCCCTCCCCTCCAGCCGCTGCCACCTCCACCGTTGAAGTCGGAAACCACTGCCGAGCGACTGCCGCTACAATTTCGTCGACGGGATTGAACGTCGACGTCATGGTTGTTGTTGATTTTGTTCTCAGTCGCACGCTCCTTCCTCCGATTCGTCGTCTGCCACGCCGCCAGTATCGCCGTCTGTTGGCGCCACCGCTGCCGCTGCTTCGTACTACCGTTCCTCTCGTCGTCGCTCCGTCGTCGTCCTCATCCAAGAGCAAAGTGCAACTGTGTGGTGGGCATTTCCGCATGTTTGTGTGTGTGTGTTTCGGTGAGTGTTCATGCCCATGTGTGTGTGTGTATCACTGCTGCAAGTCGGGAGGCGTATGTACGTCTTGGCTGGCTGAAAATCAAAGAGGACCACCATGGCAGCCAACCATGGTGGCTGCCGTCCTTAATGCTCTTTCTGCCACCACCAACCACCATGTGTGGGTGGTTGTGTGTGTGTAATATGGTGTGTGTGTTTTTTTTTTAAGATGAGGTGTTGTATGAATGTTCTTGGCCGGAAAAATCAAAGGAAACCTACCACCACCACCTCTTGCCGCCGTCTTCCACCCTTTTCAGTGGATGTATTGGACAATTTCTTTTGTATTCTTTTGGTTCTAGTGTGGGTTTGTATGTAGGAACTTTTATGTATGCTTGGTTGTTGAATTTATCACTTGAACCACCGCCGTGTGCGGGTGACCACAGACCGCCGCCGACCACCACTGCCCGTGGTGGCAGTGGGTGGTGGCCGATTTATTAAGCAATTAATGACCTAAACATCTAACTTTAGTCCGAGTGGCGAGTTTGGGGTTGGAAACGCTAATTAGGGTTTAGAAAACCCTAATGTCAATAAAACCCTAGTTTGGAGTTGCTCGGGACCCACGTTAAAGCTGTTAATTAAACTTTAAATAATACTTAATAATGCCCTTAAAATTAACTTAATGCAATATTGGACTGAATGGAGTAAGTCCTTAAGGGGTTAAGTGTGGAACACTAACCCTAGTTATCATTTTATATGAAACCCTAATCGTCATTTCATGTAAGGTGGTCACTGTTGCAAGTGACTATGACCTGTGATCGGGTATTGACTCAAGTATCTTCCTGTAGCTGATTGGAAGTGAATTGAAGCTGGTAGAGTTCTTCATTGCTACTGTGGTCACCTACGCATATATTGAGGTGAGTTTCGCCTCACTATACCCGTGGGTCAAAGGCACCAATGCCGGCCCACTAGTTTTGGTTACTAGTTAGTAGAAGGATGCCTTAGGGACGATATGTAGTCATGTAGGATAGACTGAGGACTCTTGATCCAAGCTCTCTTACTTGTTCCTTGTTTGGTTGAGGTTCTAGTGTAGGATCACCTGTCCGGGTGACTATCTCACTTCTGAGTATATACGGTCATGCATTCCTTGGATGGTTGATATTTAGTATGTTGTTATGTTGTAGTGATCTGTTAGATCTGTGTTATGGTATTTAGTATGCTGCTATACGGTAGTGATCTGTTAGATCTGTCTCCTGGTATTGAGTATGTTGCTTTGTTGTAATAATCTATAGAACTATATGTTATCTATGCTTGTTGGTTATCATCTATGGAGTACCCTTAGGGACTGTCTGTGGTCATGTAGGATAGCCTGAGAACTCTTGGTCTAGGCTCTCTTGCCTGTTCCTTGTTTGGTTGTGGCTCTTGAGTAGGATCATTTGTCCGGGTGGCTATCTCACCTCTGGTTACTTATGATTACACATTCTATGGGGGGAGGGGGGGTTAGCTGGTAGCAGGACTGTATGTTGTGAGAGAACTAGTAGGAGGTAGTGAGCTGTATGATTGTTGTTTTCCTGCACTATGTGCCTACTTGATCTTGATTGTTTATATGTCGACATGTTGTGTTTGGTTTGGGTTGAGGCGGTCCTACAGGCCAAGATACCCTGTGTGGGCCGGCTGTAAGCCGAAGGCACGAAGGCTCTGGAGGAGCGGTTTAGGGTGAGGCAGACCAGTGTAGACTGAAGGCCAAAAGACCTAGGACGTCCCAGATAGACTGTAGGCCTGAGAGGTGTATCAGTTAGTCCGAAGGCCCGGAGAACATTCCAGATAGGCTGAAGGCCCGATGAGGTGTACCAGTCATGCTGAAGTTTCTGTGAGCATACCGGATAGACTGTAGGCCGGTGGGGCGTTCCAGTCAGGCTGAAGGCTCTGTATGCATGTTGTTTGTTGGTATATGTTATCTGTTTGTGTGGTGGTATTTTTGGGGAAACTCACTAAGCTTTATGCTTACCTAATTGTTGTTATTGTTTCAGGTTTCATTGGTGTCTATGGAAAGGTGAAGGCGAGACTGTACACACTCATCAACAACATTGTGGATTTCACATTTTCTATGATACTCTGATTTTAATAAATGTAATTTGGAATATAAACAGTTTTCTTAATAATGGATTTCTAAATTGGGAAGTTTTAACTTAATAAAAATAAAAAATTTTGGTTGTGAAAATGGGACGTTACACCGTTGAACGGTCTAAATTTTTGTTTATTTATTTTTCCTTTTTAACCTTTACTCACTCCTATTTAAACCTCTCAAACCTTATAAATTTTTAACGAAACAAACTCACAAACACTTCATATTTTACCATCTTTTTCTTTCCAAAACCTTTGAAAATGTTATCCTCTAAAAAAACATATCAAACAAAAAACACCCACTAGAAACCCCACAACCTCAAGACCTTCAAGCGATCAACCGATTTATTCGCCCACTTTTATTATTTATAGTTTGCTTTTCTAAATTTTTAGTTTTTATTTATTTATTTATTTATTTTTAAGTTATGCAATGTAATGGTACTTTTATTTTTAATTAATGAAATATTATATTTTTTAAATAAATTTTTTATTTATTTAAAAAAAACAAGTATGGCACCACACATTGGGTTTTGCAACAAACCATACTTTTATGGTAAAAACACATATGACGCCTATATGGCAGTGTAGTTTCTTGAGGGAGTGTGACACCACTCCGTAGTTTCTTGAGGGAGTGTGACACCACTCTCTCCGTCATAAAAACTGATGTTTACCGTTTAAGCGAAACCAATTATCTTTTTCTTTTACTTATTTATTTTTTGTAATGAGTATTCTTAACGCACTTTTGTGTTTTTGTTCTTAGTTTTTTGTAGACTCTAAATTTATTTTTGAAGTCATAGTTTGGTTAGACCGGGTGTGTGTCGGATGTAATTTATTTAGGGTTTAGACATTAGATAGTACAAGCTTAGGCCAAACCATTTTATTTAAATAACATGGTGAAAATGAAAGTCTTCTGGTGTTTGGAGAGAAAGCAAATTTATTTATGTGTTCTTATCTCGACAAGCACATCTAAAAGACTAAAAGAGCACAACACGGTAGTTCCCTTTTGAATAGTAAATTGGTTCTTGTTGTAAAATTGTTCTTACTTTTGGCAACATGTAGACAAATTTATGTATATATACCAATATGTATAATTCATTTTTTGACCTAAAATTAGTTTTATTAAACTTTTGTCAACAATAAGTTATTAAAAACTTCTGAGAATCTTTTCTACTAAGAGTCTAAGAATCTGAAGTTAAACAATGCGAAAAGATAAAAGATTGCAACTACCACAGGGCATGGTAAAATAGGGTTCTTAATATTGATTTTTTTCCAAGTTCATTCCTCATTGGTTGTTTGTTTACTTTTTTCATATTTGCAAGGATGTTCAAGGATCTATCTTCGTTCTCAAGATGTGGTAATCTCAGTTTATGCAGTTAACTTGTTGATTTCAATTAATAGTTTAATTCATGTCTTTAAGTCATTATGCTTCACACATCGATAATTCAGGATGCAACTATTTTATGGGCTTGGAATGACATATAAGCGCTGGAATAGAATAGATTTTACACTCTGTAGTTATAAAACCTCAAAACCAAAATTGAAAAACAATTTGTAAGATAGGTAGTTAATTTAAGCAATGATTATATATATATATATATATATATATATATATATATATATATATATATATATATATATATATATATATATAATCCGATTGTTATTTGTTTGAAAATATTATTTTCCAAGGCGTTACATTCTTGTTATTTTATTTTTATTTGCATGTGTAGGAAAAATGGGCAACGATGAGAACTTACTGGAATCCGAGATGGTAATGCATGCAACAGGAAGACGATCATGACTTGTGACAACGGTGGTGGTGGTTCGGGACCTTGGTCAGATCTTACGCATCATGTGTTGTTTTTAGTGATGACACAACAGGGAGTTATTGATTTTGTTGCATTTAGTGGGGTTTGCAAGTCATGGAGGTCATTCGCATTATCTTATATGAGCACATTTATGACATCTAGACCACCCATGTTTATGTCTCCTGATGATGATTACGATGTTGAGTGGTGGTGCCACCTAAAGGACGTTGAAGGAAGAAGGTTTAAAACCATTGTTCCCCACCCTGCTAGTGCGGTCTGTGTTGAAATAACTTGTGGGTATGTGATCTTGTTCGTGACCAAAACCCGTGACTTTGGGCTTATCAACCTTATCACATGGCATGAACTTCATTTCCCTAATGCCCCCATAAATTTCATTCTTCATGCTGTTAAACGAAAAGTCAGAGCTATACTTGTATTTTCACCTTCAATATCTGGTTGTTGGGTGTTTCTCGATTTATATGTATTCACCCATGAAATTGTTTTTCTAGAGTAAGGGGTAAATGTAAAGGAGAATTAGGAGCATGGGTGTTAGAAATTAGGTAGGGTTTATAATAGAGATCTGGATACCCATTGGATCGTGTAAACACTTTCCAAACTGATATTTCTACCTTATGCCCGCGTTATAAGAAACTCATCCTAGGATAATCTCAAGGGGACACTTACGAATCTAGGCACGAAAACGTAAGCCAAATTGCTAGAAGATTTTGAGTTTGTATGAAGAAAAACGAGAGCTAAAAAGGTGATATTTTCTCCTCAAGAAGAGAGTCGTTTTTATATCGAAATTGATAATTAGGGTTTCGTTTTAGGGTTGGCCGTCATGGGTTGCTTTTGAAACAAGTCAAGGGAATCTGAAATTAAAGAGGAATTCAATGGTTTCCAAAACTGACGATCTTAGTCAGTTTTACCGTAATCAGTCTCAAGAATTCGATTTTTCTACTCTATACCCAATTGTAAAATCTAAAGAGTTTTTGAGTCGCTGCCCTAAACCCCGCGGGGGCGTTGCCCCTTGACCCTGCCCAGTGGGACCCCAGCCAGGGGCTCTGCCCCTTGGACCCCGCTAGGGGAGCTGCCCTTTTGGAAACCCCGGACCCAGGGGCGCTGCCCCCAGACCCCCGACTTGTCGTCGAACCGACTTCTAATTCGATCTTATACATGCGTGCACTTTGCACATACCCAAACATATATTAGAGTACAAATTATGAAGCCCCTTAGCTCACATGTAAGTTCCAATTACAAAAAAATGTCCTGGTGACACTAAAATCACCAACAATGAGATCATGTCTCCTCCACTGCCCCCATTCAAGATTTATAATTTTTTATAGGGAAGATATAAACCCTAGACGGTAGTACCGATCGTAGATCTAAAATGGAAATTATAGGTGTTATGAGACTCAATCCGAAGGAGTCCAAATTAACGTTACTCATATAGGATTTGTATGTTCGGGTGAAAACCTCTATCTGCTGTAGCAGGAGCCCTCGTTCTTTTTATGACAAACTCAGTTGAAGCCTCACATACTAGATTTTGATGAAATGAAATGGGTGGTGGCAGTTAAAAATACCCATGCATTCTTTTTTAGCTACAAGAGTTATTGTGTTGCTGTTAAACTAGAGTCATAGTGGCACGCACAGTTCTGGATCAGTTCATCTGGCGACCTCTATGGAAATGAAACCTTTTTTGATTCACATCGCATGTGGTATTTTACCCATGAAACTCTAAGTATTAGTTGCATGGATGAGTGAATGTAGACTAGTTTGTAGTCTTGTCTTATCTACATACCATGTAACATTATCACGCACTAAATGATGTCAATAGGACAAAATTACCCCAAAACTTAATGATGGAACAAAACCACAAATTAAGGTAGGGATTCACTTTCGGTATCTAGTCTATGAAAAAGACTTGAATATATTTCTCATCTACATCAGACACCTAAAACATAACCTAGAGAACATGTCATGCGTCATCTAGTTTTGTCATGTTTAATAATAACATAGCATCCATGTTTTTTTGGGAAATGCAATCACGTATTCAATGTTTTGTACTGGAATATAGTAGTTAGAAATAATATTTACCAAATACTAGTAGTTCAAAAAATAATTACAAATGAACCCTCTATTATCATTTCATACTCTTATCTTCTTTCTCCCTCCATGATTACAATTGTGCTGGAACTCCACTCTACCTTCACCGACTCTTCCATTCATCCTCTATGATCTAATAGAACTTCAATTACCAAAATAATTTAATATGTAAACAGATCAAACTCCTAAAACCAATAAAATCATGTTCAATTTCAATCTCAATGCTGCAAGAAGAAGATGTGGAGGGACAAATATAACAGAAGTCATAGGTAAAATAAACATTATCATTGAATTGATTGTGCATTTACAACTTTAGTGTTGCCTATGTTTTCAAATTAATTTAGGTTGTTTTCATTTTCTAGCCAAAAAGAAAACAAAACATGGTATCTTTGACAATATTTTATATTTATATTCTTTCATGTTTTCAGATTTAGCAAACCAAACCAAACAAAACAAAAGAGTGAATCTATATGAACGTTTGAATTTTGTTACGTTGGTTTAAGATTCCAGAAAGAAACTTTTGGTTGGTTTCCATTTCCGGTGAACAAGATTTGATTGGCTTCAATTTTCCAGTGAGCATACCATATATATAAATCATTTATATTTTTTTTTAAATGTAAAAAGATACATGTTCAAAAGTTATTTTTGTTATGTTTTGGTAAATATTTCCAAAAGTACAACACTAAAGTAAATAGTTTTTAAATTAGCTATACTTGTGAACAAAACTCCTATTTTACACACTTGTATAGTGACATAAAATCTAAACAAACAACTTTTGGTCATACGAAAACACAGGCAAACGATTATAGGAAATAAAAATCAAACTTTGGGACATGCATCCAAATTAAAGACCATGACGAAGAGAGTTCAATTCAAAAAACTATGAAGACAATTAATTGTGGTGGTATCTGACACTTGAGTTGAAGAAAATCCAAATGAAACCAATATATAGGTGTATTACTCAATGAAAAGTCATATTCACAAAACGGCATACCTTCTGTTACCCTAGATGTTCAATTGCTTCAATAACATTTGATTCCACATCACCATCGACATGTGCATCGTATACTATCTTCAAAAGAGCTTTCAGAGGCCTTTTTGTAACACCCATTTTCCATAGTGGATCAGCTAAAAATGTATTGGGGTCAAAGATGGGTTTTTGGAGAAAACCATATGCCATGACGTGGGACATGGTTGACCATGAAGTGACATGGAATTATGAAACACGCATCAATATCGTGCGTCACGACGTGATAAGCTTATAGTCACGACGTGGCGACTAAGTGAGTGCTTAACCCTAATTTGGGGGTTTGTGCTCCTATTTAACAGAAGTGAGGGCTAGGGTTTACACACCCTCAACCTTCATCACCTCCCTTTCACCCTCCAAGAAACCCTAGCCTTCATTTTGACCTTGTGAGCTCTTTGTGGTGATTTTTTTTAGCCCTTGAAGGAGGAGGAGGAGGTGTGCTTGCTAGTTGGAAGAGTATATCACTCCAAATCTTGCATCTCCTGTACCTTGTGGAGCTTAGGAAGGTATAAAGCTTCCACCTTTTTGGTCCTCTCTTCATAGATCTAGGCTTTATTGTATTTCTTGGCTCATCTTCGAGTTTGGGTTGGTTAGATGAGATAAAAATTTCAACTTTATAGCTCGCCTTGGTCCCTTGGTCTCTATATCTTTAGGATTTGAAGTTTGATTGTGTATTGAGTTCCATGCATGAGATTTTGGTCTCATTTCGCCATTTTGACCTAGTTTGGATTCTAGACTTGCATTGGACATGCATGTTTGTAAAGCTTCGATTTTTATGATGGAATAGAAGGATGAAAGCCTTCTGGAAAGTATAAATGAGTGGCTTGAAGGATTAAGAGCTTAACCCATTAAGTTGTGGGAGCTCAGTTTCCACGACGTGGCAGTCTACTTGCCACGACATGGCGACTGGTGTTACTGCAACTGTTTTGTCGTGAAGATGTCATGACGTGACCAATGGGTGGCCACGACGTGGGTATCGACTGGGGGGTTGACTTTGATTGTTGACTTTGAACCGTTGACCATTGACTTTTGACCAATTTGACTTTTGGTCATACTTGGAGAGGTGTTGAGCATTAGTCCGAGGCTTAGCTTGTGAGTGGTTTAGGAGGTTTGTGTCGGTGATTATGTAGGACTTAGAGTAGTGGATTTCAGCTCTTCGTTCATGTGAGTCTTCTCACTGTATTACTTATGCCATAATGTGTGCATGCTGACCGGTTGGGTCTTATTTGTTGATTGTGGTTATGTGTTACTGAGCTGCTGACAGGGTGTGCTGTTAGCCCATTGAGGCTGCTGATAGTCTCCAGGGTTGCTAATAACCCACATGGTTTGTTGTTAGCCCACAGAGCGTGTTGTTAGCCCACATGGCGTGCTGTTAACCCATTGGAAATGCTGATAGTCCACAGGGTTGCTGATAACCCATAACTATTTATTTATGATGTGTTGTCTGTGATATTTTGGAGAACTCACTAAGTTTTGTGCTTACAGTTGTAGATTAAATGTTTTTCAGGTACTTATCAGATTGCGAAGGTGGGACTGTCTGTACACACACATCAACAGTTTTATGAATCAAAATTCCGCATTGTGTTCCTTATAACTCTGGTTTTTGAATAATAGTTTATGAACAAATTGATTTGATTAGAATGTAATTTTAATAAAGTGGATATTTACTTTATTTAAAAATGAAAATTTTATTCTGCAATTTAGGACGTTTCACATTTTTTATCACCTCGTGCATAAGACAAGTTGTTCATAATGGTTGCCCGTGCATTCGTTGACCGTTGTGGCCTCCTTTCTATCTACAAGCTCTCCAACCCCACCATTGTTAACTACCAGACCTGAGAAATGTACATATTGCTTATTTTGTGGACTTGTAAACTTTAGCAAGGTTGTCGCCTGCTTCAGATCTGATTTAGAGATCCTCATGAAGTATATCTTTTACCAAAATTTCAATCAGATTCTTGGTATTGCCACCAACCGCACAAAACGTTGTAGACAAATATCAAATTGCCTTAAATTTTGGCAATATCTAGACTTCAACTTCAATTGAATGAATAATCTTAATGAGATAATCAATTGTCTCACTTGAAGCTCATATCCTATGACCCAAAGACTAATCTTTTAAAATCACAATTTTTTTGGCTACATATGTCATGTGATCATGTGGAGTATGACATTAAAGCAATTGTGTTCAAGTTGTTGGTTATTTTGTTGACACGACTGTACCACTAAAACCAAGCCACTCGTCCCACCAACTACACAGCAATTTGTATAGCAATCTTGTGTCACAGCATCAAGAGCTTCGACGCAAAATAATTTCTAGATAAACTGGGTCATGTGCGATTCCATCCTTCTAAAACTTAACGACCAAAAATTATATTTTCCCT